ACATCTAGAAACAAAGGTGTTGATGGAAGCAGCACAGCTGATATTTCTCTCCAGGAAGATGAAAAAAAACAAGACGAGGATCGATGAAAACCTGAGTAAAACATCCCAGATCTGACCTTTAACTGCTTCTATCTGTAATAAAATGATTACTGAGGCTTTTCTCACCAAGAAGCTCGACATTAACTGAACCTGAAGGGTCCAGCAGTAGCTTCAGTCAGAGCGGCTCAGATTTCTGGAAGCTAACATTGTGACCTCAGCAGATTGAAGCGTTGCAGAGAAATCCTTCCTCTCATCCTTCTGCAGGACAGAACCGAGCTGGAAACCAAATGACCCGCCTCCTCTCCCCCACAGCAGGAACTGGGCTGTTCCTGCTCCGCCTCTGTGCTTCTGGCAGCTCATTTTCTCCCTTTCCTAAACTTCACATATCAGATCCTCAAATGAGGCTTTTATTCAAACTCCTGGGAGATAATTTAAACATAGACGCCACTAAAACTATCTACAGATCTACAGGAACTAGTAAGAGTCTCTCCAGGATCCTTAAAGAGGGAAAGTTGTGGGCGGAGTCACCTGGTCCAGGTCGTAGGAGCATGAGTCGACTCTCTGCCGCAGGACGTTCCACTTCTTCCCCCTGAAGAGTCTCCAGAGGGACGAGAGGCCGTAGATCTTCAAGCAGTACAGCCTGATGAGACACAGAGGTCAGAGGTCACCATAGGGCTTCCAGCCTCCGTCCAGGGACGGTAAATCACTGCTTTGGGGCCTTTGTGGATCTTACACGGTTGATCGACTGGGTAGCAGCTGTTCTGGTAGACTGCACTGGTTTAAATCCTACATGCTCCTCACAACTCAGAGCACAATAAGCATCAGTTACCATGGCGATGCAAATAAAACCCATTAAAGGGCTGGTTATCCAGCGTGTCGCAGTTAGCTTGTCGCTGGAATGATGCAGATATTTTTGATTTATGCCCAATTTTGAAGCGCCACAACGCCAGAGGGACGATCAGGAACTAGCTAGGATGGTGGCGTGTTTCTCTTCCGGGTATGACTGTACATAACCATTACCTTTTTTATTTTTCAACCAATAAAGTTGAGTTTTGTTTCATTGGTTTTCTACACATTTTTCTTTCACAATGTCAACAACTTCCGGTTTGAGCTAAGTGCTTTTATTTTGGTAAGCTTTTGTGTTTCCGGTCCCGCGCAATGTAGCGTCGGTTAGCTTGTTCCCTCATAAGTACGGCATTAAGTTAAACACGGACCTACGGAATCGCAAAAATATAGTCCTGGCAGCCCCTCCGAAGAGGCAAAAGGTGTGTTATTTATTTGTACAATAGTATTTTCCAATGTTTATTTTTGCACAAGATGAAACATTTAAAATGGTTTAATGTAAAAAGCTGTATAATTGTTATGTGTTTCAGCTCTCATGGTGGTGATATGTGGATTTAAAGACTACAGTTTGTGGAATATGACTCTAAAGGAATTAAAATCCATAAAACCCATCAGTAAAGTCTCATCATCGATCGGGGGCGGCATGCTACAATGGCGCTGTCAACACCTGCTGTCCTTGAGGTGTGGCGAACGAGACCCGCTCTTCTAGCTGGTCCATCTTCACGAGTCGTTTTCCACAATGGCGGTCAAAAAAAAGCAACAACAAAAAAACAACCTTGTAAGGCACCGAACAGGAAATACGCATAGAGTAAAGCGGCTATAGATTTGACCAATCAGAGGCCTCCTTTCTCTCCTCCCTGCGACGGTATAGGCTGATTTATGCACAGAAACCAGGTCGTCTGCGTGTGTGTTGCAGTTAACTCAGATAACTGCAGGAGGCCTCTGATTGGTCAGATCTACATCCGCTCTACTCTACGCGTATTTCCTGTTGAGTTCCTTACCGGCTTGTTTCGTTTCTCTGACCGCCATTGTGGAAAACGTACGTCTTCGATCAAAGGGGCGTTATTGTTTCCCAACAGCTGATTGGCTGCTGTGTGAAGCGTTTTCTAGGATTCAGATCAGTTCTGAAAGCCAGCCTGCCTCAAAGCAGGTTAGACATTCAGCGTACGTTACCATGGTGACTAGGACAGCTAAGAATGAATCCAGCTGGGGCGTTCTTTGGTGGGGCAGTGGTTAGCGCATACGACCATGTGTACAGAGTCCTCGACATGGCCGACCACGGGTTCGAATCTGACCCGAGGTCCCTTCCCGCCTGTCCCTCCCCCTCTCTCATACGCCCTTTCCTGTCAGCCCACTTTTTACTGTCAGAAAAATGAGCCACTAGTGCCGTAAAAACTAAAAAAATTATTTGGGGGGTTGGACCCGACGTTATCTGGCTAACCCAGTAATCCTGCTCCGTTGTTCAGGCCTCTGGATAAATGCAGAGAAGAACTCAGCGAATGGATGAACTAAATGTTCTTCAGCTGATTTAAACTAACCATTATTCTACTAATCGATTAATCCGTCCATTAGTTTTACGATAAATAATCTGACGGCTACAGATTCCTTAAAGAAGATTTTTCAGTAAATTAAACCGGGTAAATCTAAAACTTTTCCACTTGTGGAGTTCTGGATAGAGCAGATTGACAGATAAAATTTATTTTTACAAAATGTTTATAATAAATATTTTTACAATTTTGATATAATTATTGATCTAAGTGGGTCACTCCGTTAACTAAATGTATTTTATAGAGTCTCTGTACTTCAGTTAATGATTAATCGATTACTAAATGAAATGATTAATTCACTAATTGATTAATCCCGTTAATTGTTTCAGCCCTAATTTAAGCTAAAGTGAGTTTTGGGACCAATAGGAAGAGCATTTCAAAGTTAGCACCCAGCTTCAGCTGGAGAGAAGCAATCAGGCTCCATAATCTGGACTCAGATTATAATCAGCCTGAACCTTCAGAGGCTCATAAAGACAGGAACAAAGTGGACCTTCTATCATCTGAAGGATTAAAGGACAAACGTTGAGAAACTATTTCCTGTTTAATTCGTCTTTAGCAGAATTGATCCCTGCAGCTGATCCAGAACGCTGCTGCCTGCGTCCTCACTAGAACTAAGAAAGAGGAGAACATCAGCCCAGATTTGAAAATTGCTGAGCTCCAAAATACTTTACAGACTGGGCAGGAGAGAAGACAAGACATAGAACAGCCCCATTATCCAGATAGAGAAATGTTAATAGAATAGACATCCATTATCTGTTCTAGGTTGTGTTCCTCTCTTCTTGTCCCTTTTCTTCTTGTTTTCCTCTCTATGTTTTGTACTCAGCTGACTTTTCATGCTGTCTCTAAAGGAATGAAAGATTTTTTCCAAGCAC